ACAAACATAAAATCTAGAAATTAGTAGTAGCCCCCTAAAATTAAAATTTGCAATTGTCACCCTTAAAGTTTTAAAAATTGTAGAAATACCCTCAAACGTTTAAAATTACAAAAAAATAAAAATAAAAAATATATTGATAGATTAAAATTTAATATCATTGTCTAAATTAAAGTAACTACACATAATTTCACTCATAAGTTGGAGTATCAAAAATACAGATATATCATTAATTGATAGAAGATTAAATCACTTAATATTGATAAAAGACTATAATATAATAGCTTAGTAGTAATTGATTATATTTAATAAAAATTATTCTCTAATGTTAGTAATATTCATAGGGTAAAAAAAAATTATTTTATGTTAATAATATTCAAGGTAAAAAATACAATGAGTTATGTGTGAAGAAATTATTAAAAAGTTCAAAGATATCATTCAAAAGGATCTAGTTATTTTCATTTTAAATGAAAAAGTGAAGGAAATTAACCTAAGATTCATAAACTTACATAAACTTGAATTGATATTAAAAAAACATATCTATCAAAGAAGCGCCAACTGATTTCCCATTAGAGAACATATTAAATAATTTTTTCCAATCAGAGAAGCATTTTCCATAAAAAAATATAAAAAATATTAGTAAGTCTTATAAAATTTCATATTTTATTATTCAAATACTAAAGGAATCATAAACTTATCATATAATTAGATACAAATGATCTTGAAATAGCAACTAACGTGAAGCTATTGATCAACTATATTATGAAATATAAAAAACCTGACAAGAGGAGGAAAATTACTATAATTAACAAAAGGTATCCACATAGTACTTACTTAACAAGCCAGACAAAAGATGGGAAATCACTGTAGCAGATAGAATATGTACACATGATACTTACTTATCATAGCTTAAGATACACATTATTTCATTACAAAAATTCTTATTAAAGGCCAGCAAATATAAAGTTCACCTTATATCCATCTCAACTTTGCTGGGGGAATATGCACGTCATCACAAATTTGCATCACTCACACAAACACACACACACACACACACACACACACACACACACATCAACCCAAAGATTCAACTAACTAAATAAATAGGAGAATGATATGTAAACCAATCAAACATTCATATAACACAATAAATAACAAATATTATATTTTTAAGTTAATATGCAATGCTCATTCAGAACAAGCTATCAAAATAAAAGCATCCCCATCAATGTTCTTTACAAATGAAAAAAAACTTAGCAATTTTATGCAAACATCACAATATTCAAAAGAGGTATGATCTTAAAAAAACCTAGGTATGATCTTAAAAAAGCTACTCTATAATTCACACAATTAAACCTAATTAAAATTTACCAATATACAGATACGCTATTGCACCTTTAAGGTAAAGATAACTACCCGTTATAATAGACTTGAGCAGTGGCTTTACACTTGCAAAGGCCGCAATAAGAAGATATATATAGATGTTAATAAAGAGTGTCCAAATAATAAATATTACAGAATCTCTGATGACTTAGGACATTGTAAAAGTAACACAGTAGAAATTTTTATTGGGTGCACAACACAAGAATTTATCGCAAAGAAAAAATAGGTCAATCCTAACTTAACTGAAGTAAAGAATTAGAAACATAGAAAAATTGTCACATATATGAAATTAATATTTGTTCTCATTCAAGTTACTTGAAAAGTTAAATGAGAAGATAAAAGATGAATAAGCTCAGGGAAAGATAATAGCACGAGAAATACAGGTCCAGCCTGATGTCACAATCTATGTAGATGATGAAGACACCACTTCAGAATTACCCTGGAAAATGATAAAAGTGAAGAAGACTCGATCCTGGCTTAATAAAAAAAATAAAACAGAAAGAATAAAAGACAATATTTTCTTAATATTTTATAGAATGGCCTAAATTTTTTGAGTAAAATTAGGAATATTTTGAAGAGATTTTAATGAAATTTTAAATATTTTTATATACTTATTTTATGAACGCTTTTATCATATAAAATTATAGAGTTAGTATTAGTATTTAATTTATAGTTTTTAATGAAGTCTATCAATGATTAGGAATAAATCCATATTCCCTATTATGCAATTTTAGTCACTTCTAATCATCTTGCTATTATAATACTATTTTTAAGTATTTTTTTTTTTACTTTTGCAACACTATACTTACTTAGGTAAAGCTTCATTTCATGTCGATCTAAATAACATGAATATTCAAATTGGTTTCACATTGGTTTCGTGTTAGTTCAAATATTATCAATATGAAACTTAAAATTGGGTGTAGCTCATTCAAACAAACATTAAAAAAGATAAATAATCAAAATATTAAATTGTAGATATATAAGTGAGCAAAAACTATCAAAAAATTTTAGGAAGGAAATAAACTAAAAATAAATAATTATGATATTTAGCTACATTGTATATGCACGGCATAACAATCTAATATGTATATATATATATATCTATATATATATAATATATAATAATATATATATATTATTATATATATATATATATTGTTGTGTGGTGTGTGTGTGTGTGTGTGTGTGTGTGTGTGTGTAAGTACGAAAAATTATGTCAACGACCCCAACTTTCAAAACTCAATGTACCCCAGCACCTTATACTTTTTGTAATGTGTTGCAGCCTCCAAATTTTGAAAAAATGTGCTCGAGCCCCTCTAGCTCATGATTAGCCCATATTTGACCTAAAACCCCAAATTTACCCCTCTTCTCCTTCTCCTTCCTCAGCCTTTTCCCCTTCTCCTTCCTCATCCTCTCCTCCCTTCCTCCTTCCTCCCCGACGATCCTCCGGTTTATTGCCGACTTTGCATGGGATTCACTGACGACCCTTTTCCTCGTCTCATTCTCTTTCGTCATCCTCCTTCCTCCTTCCTACTCGACAATCCTGCAGTCCACCACCAACTCTGCATGGGCTCCATCGACGATTAGTTGGCCACCGTCGATGATCGATTGGAGATGATACTGCTCAATCCCATCACTCAATCCTAAATTTGACTCCCTCTAATCTCCACTATACTAGATTTCTCCCCTATATCCTCACCCGAAGAAATTTATGAAAAATTCATCCTGCCTTCAAGCTCCATGGAAAAGGGATGTGTGATTATGCTCTGTTCTTTGGAAGCAACTAGTCTACGTGTATATCTAGTCGAGATGTTCCTGGAGTGAGAGGCAATTATGTCTACTTTATCGAAGACTCTATGGATAACCCGAGCATTCATAAGTTTTTTGAGAAACGCTATGTGAGTTTGTTGGAGCTAGGATTTATACAGAAGTTTCTTGCAACATTAGAACTAAAAAATTAGTAAAATATATACTACAAGTTTATTAGAACTAAAAAAACATTTAACAAAGTAAGTTAAAAATTAACAATTTAAGAGTTAAGGTACATTAATAGGTACTTCGTGAGTTTTAATAGACATATATGAACAATAACTTGATATTTTACATTATATAGTCTTATTCAAAAATTAACAATTACTCAATTATGTTTAAGAAGGACTAGGTTAATATTAACAGTTAGTCAACTATAGTTTACATATATTAGATAAAACATAATAGTTAATCTATAAAACTTAACATTTAAAAGAATAAAGATAAAAATTACTCAATTATACTTATATGGAACACCTAACATTAACAGTTAATCGGCTATAGTTCACATGTAATAGGTAAAACTTAACAGTTAATTAACAAAACTTAATATTTAAAAGAAAAAAGTTAACACTTACTCCATTATACTTAACATGGAACATGTAATGTTAACAATTAATTTGCTATAGTTCACTTGTATTAGGTAAAACATAATATTTAATCTACTGAATATTTATACATCCATTAATTTAAATGAATATTTTTGTATGTAGGCTTTTATTTCTCAATTATCAATGCATCATGTACAAACTACATATAATTTTTAAGCCAACAAAAATGACCTATGTATAATAAAAATTTAAACAAAGACTAATCCACTCAACATCTCGGCTCGATATACAAGTAGATATAATTGCCTCTCACTCCAGGAACATCTTGGCTAGATATATACGTAGACCGACTGCTTCCAATGAATAAATCATAATCACAAAATCCTTTTTCATGAAGCTTGAAGACAGGACGAATTTTGCATAAATTTATTCGGACGAGGAGTTTGGGGGAAACTCCAATATAGTGGAGATTTGAGGGAGTCGGATTTGGGATTGAGTGATGGGATTGAGCAGTATTATCTCCAATCAGTCATTGAAGGTGGCTAACCAACCATCGGTGGTGCCTATGTAGAGTCCACGACGAACATGAGGATCGCCGGGGAGGAAGGAGAATGAGGGAGGAGAGAATGAGAAAGGAGAAGGAGACGAGGAAGAGGATCGCCAATGGAGCCTATGCAGAGTCGACGACGGACTGGAGGATCGCTAGAGAGTAAGGAGGAAGGAGGATGAGGAAGAAAGAGGAGAAGAGGATGAAGAAGAAGAAGGAGAAGGAGAAGAGGGGTAAAATTGAGTTTTTAGGTCAAATATGGGTTAATTATGAGCTGGAAGGGCTTGACCATAATTTTTTTAAAAATTTTGGGGACTGCAGCACATTGCAAAAAGTATGAGGGCCTGTGGCACATTGAGTTTTTAAATTTGGGGCATTGACACAATATTTCCATTTAAGTATAATATAATGTGATATGAAGTATGATATAATATGATATGATATGATTTTTTTTTTTACAAATAGGATCTTTAAAGTGAAAAGTTTTACACAGAGGGCCATTTAAGTGAATTTTTTTGCAAGTGAGGTCATTGAAGTGATGTAACGTGAAGCAATAGATCATTTTATGCAATTTACCCAAAATTTAACTAATACGATACGTAAACTTATCGGTGATGGGATCTAATTTCAGACCCAAACACGGCCCAATATTCAATCTAAAGCATTTCGGTCCAGCCCAATTGCACATTTTGCAGTAAACTCCCGGATATAAAATCGGACCGCCATTTCTTTTATCTCCTCACCAAAACCCTAGATCTCTTCGCCGTAACCCTAATCCCTGCGAAATTTCCACGACCTCTCTCACGATCGATAAAATCCTTGAGGTAAGACGCGATAGATCTCTCCATCTCCTATGGATTCTTAATCTCGAGTTTCCTTTTCTGATTTTGTTTCTTTCCCTCAATTTTTTTTGATTATTTGTTGTTTCTGATCTTCTCTCTTTCGATCTCTAGGTCTTTTTAATTCTAAGCAGCAGTCAATTAAAAAACAAAGCAAACCAATCATGGCGTCCCGATTTTGGACTCAGGTAAATCTCTCCCTTTCCGAATCTTGGACACGAAACCCTAACGTGCAACTCAATTGACGAGTTTCCTAATCTAAAAATCCGTTCTTTTTCGAATCTCAGGGCGGAGACAGCGACTCCGAAGACGAGAGAACGCAGAGTGATTCCGATGACAACCGCAGCGAGGCAGGCCCCGAGCCGGGGGCCAACGCCAGCAATCCATACCTCGAGGCGAACGCCAGCGACAGCGATGACTCCGACAACGACCACCGAGTTGTCAAATCTGCCCGCGACAAGAGGAACGAGGAGTTGAAGTCTACCATTGAGCAGATGAAGAATGCGATGAAGATCAATGACTGGGTCAGCCTACAGGAGAGTTTTGAGAAGATCAATAAGCAGTTGGAGAAGGTGATGAGGGTCACCGAGGCTGTTAGGGTTCCTAATTTGTATATTGGTGCTCTTGTGATGCTTGAGGATTTCTTGGCTCAAGCACTAGCGAACAAGGAGGTGAAGAAAAAGATGAGCAGTAGCAATGCTAAAGCTCTCAACTCGATGAAACAGAAACTGAAGAAAAACAATAAGCAGTATGAGGAGCTGATTATTAAGTACCGGGAAAAGCCCGAGAGTGATGAAGAGGGTGAGGACGAGGAAGATGAAGAGGAGGAGGACGAAGAGGATGAAGAGGTTGAGTCTGACGAGCTTACAACTGCAACTTTTGATGATGGTGAGATCAGAAGTGAGGAGGGGAAATGGGACATGAAGGATAAGCCTTTGGTCAGGCAATTCATGAAGGATCCAAGCGAGATTACTTGGGATGTCGTTGATAAGAAGCTCAAAGAAATTGTGGCTGCGAGGGGTAGGAAAGGGACAGGTAGAGTTGAGCAGGTTGAACAGCTAACGTTCCTTACTCGGGTTGCCAAAACACCAGCACAGAAGCTTGAAATCCTTTTCAGTGTCATCTCTGCTCAATTTGATGTGAATCCAAGCTTGCTTGGTCACATGCCCATAAATGTGTGGAAGAAGTCTGTGGCAAATATGCTTCTTGTCCTTGATATTCTTGAGCAGTATCCTAACATCGTGGTTGATGATACCGTTGAGCCTGAGGAGAATGAGACCCAGAAGGGTGCCGACTATAATGGGCAAATCCGTGTCTGGGGTAATTTGGTTGCCTTCCTTGACCGGTTGGATTCTGAGTTCTTCAAGAGTTTACAATGCATTGATCCACACACTAGAGATTATATTGAGAGGCTCAGGGATGAACCATTGTTCTTTGTCGTCGCCCAAAACGTTCAGGACTATCTTGAAAGGGTCGGCGATTTTAAGGCAGCTGCAAGGGTGGCCTTGAGAAGAGTTGAGCTCGTCTATTATAAGCCACAGGAAGTTTATGATGCAATGAGGAAATTGGCTGAGCAGAGGGTAGATGGAACTGAAGGTGGAGATGATGTGGATGGGGTGACAGGGGATGATCAGTCTGAGGATAACAGAGGTCCTCCAGCTTTTGTTGAGATTCCTGAGCTCGTCCCTAGGAAGCCTACGTTTCCTGAAAGCAGCAGGATGCTAATGGATACATTGGTGCCTCTCATTTATAGGTATGGGGATGAGAGAACCAAGGCAAGAGCAATGCTTTGTGACATATATCATCACGCTATCTTTGATGAGTTCTCGACTGCACGCGACCTTTTGTTGATGAGTCATTTGCAAGAAGGGATTCAGCACATGGACATATCCTCTCAGATTCTATTCAACAGGGCAATGGCACAACTTGGTTTATGTGCCTTTAGAACGGGTCTTATCACAGAAGCTCATGGGTGCCTGTCTGAACTTTATACAGGTGGTAAGGTGAAGGAGCTGCTTGCACAAGGTGTATCTCAAAATCGGTATCATGAAAAAACTCCTGAGCAGGTATACGCCACATTTATTGCTATTTTTTTTTCATTCAGGCTAATATAACTGATTTGTCATAATAACGTCTCTTCCTTAGTAATGATTCTTTGCATATCATTTTAAATCTATCATTGAACTGAATGAGATTTTCTCCTTCCGATTAGGTTGTCCACATATGGAAAAGTTTTTTGCTTATCGAGACCACATGAATTTCACGCATATTATGTTGTGCTGTGATGCAAATGTGCTGCTATGGAAACATGCTTGTGTTTGTACATACTTGTCAGTTAATTGTCATTCCAAGTTATTATCTTAGCGTAGTTATCTGTGTGTGAACTCAACATATTGTATTGTCATGAAACAATTAAAGTAGATATTCTCTTTAAGGGGCATGCATGCTCTTTGATTTCTTATTCACACTATATTCACAGTAAAGTATGCGTGGATAAATATTATATAGCCATTTTAGGTTTGCGTATGAGATACATGTATTATCATATGCTATTTCTAATTTACTTTTCCGGTTTATTTTCTTTGATTGCTCACCTGATTATTTGAGCTTTGCCAAACGATCTGCTGAGATGTTAGCGGGGACAATATATATTCAGATTTATGCTCCAGCTAGTTGATATTAAGAGTTTTTTGATCAGTCATGTAAGATCTTTATTCGAAGTATGTATTTGGTGAATACTAGTGGAAACTTTAATTATGGTCTATAAATGGATCATGAACACGTTCATGCATTACAGGAATTATGCTCTTATACCGATTGAAATCTGATGATGCTTTAATTGCCTCTTGAAGGAAAAATTTATAAAATCAACCAGATTCTAGTGAAGCCAGACTCGTTAGCCCTCTTGATTAGATATTTTATGTTTTTAGATAGTTTTTACATATATCTGCTTAGATCTTTGAAATGTCCTTATATCTTCAATCTCCGATACCTGATATTACTCTTTGAATGATATCTTTGCTCATGTCTAGTTTAGGCTAGCAGGATTCAAATCATTTCCAAGTGTTACTCTTCTCTCTCTCTTTGAATACAATAACATCAAAGGTTATTTAGAAAAGCTTACAGATTTAAAATGGCTATTTCAAATATTAAAGATTTGAGTCCGTTATATTAAACTAGAAAAGGTTTGAAGGTGAATAAATAATAGGAAGATTTCGTTCTGATGGATCCAGAATAGATAGTTATCTTGTCTCATCAATAGATAGAAATAGGGATTTCCCTTTATTATTGAGAGATTCCCTCTTCTCTATCAATTCCTACTCTTTCGATCTATCAAAACAGATCAGGCCATGAAAATTCAAATTCATCTTGCTCTTTTCGTTCATTTCAGCCACGCCACAATAAAAAGAAGCAAGCGAAACAGCTAGAAGCGCTCGCTTATGATAAAAACATGGACTTTTGGCTGCTTTTCTTCCTCATTTATAGAATTCTAAATTGATCCCTGAAAGAGATAGGTTTCTAATTGAGTGAGTAAAATCTACAATATTTAGGTAATATAAAAATGAAGGGTATGGTTCTGACTTTTGATTGATCACCTACTTATTTAATTTTGATTATATGATGTTACATGAGGCTTCACTTTAAAATTCTGATTATTGATCACCTACTCATTTTAAAATAGGCACATTCAGATGGTTGGCCATCAATTACACTCAAAATATTTTAAGCCAAACCCTCCTTTTTCTTCATTCCTTAAAGGTACAAACCAATAGAGAAAGATTTGCATCATCTATTGAAATAAGACTTTTCTTCTACTTGCTATCTGAAGAAATTATGTTTTTATCTGACAAATTCTGAACGGTGATTGATGTTGCTGAAGACATTAAGATACCACTGTACTAGTACAAATTCCTTCAGACAATATTACTGACACCCGTACAGCCCATAGTATCACGAGCGAGCTTGCGGTCTACTCCATCGAAATAGAATTATGCTTTGTGCCCTTCATAATTAATGAGCTTTACATGTCCACTTTCTCTTTAAATTCATGTCGTCATTCTCTCTCATGCGCTGGACATGGCGGTTTTGTTATTTCAGTTGCTTATCCTTTACAGAGTTTAGTTTTACGTGTATAACTGTATATATTTTTTAAGTGGTACAAATCTGTGCATTTGTTCTATTTACGCTTCTCTTAGCTGCTGTTGTCTGCATTCTTGTTATTATCAGTTCATGCCACCTTATTCTTGATTACACATGAAGCATTTATCTTAACATATGACTACTTATTCCTTCACAATTAATGAGCTTTACATGTCCACCTCATTCTCTCTTTAAATTCTTGCCTTTTCACATTCTTACATATGACTACTTATTCCTTTGCTGATGACATTTGTCCTATTTACGCTTCTCGTAGCTGCTGTTGTCTGCATTCTTGTTATTATCAGTTCATGCCACCTTATTCTTGATTACACATGAAGCATTTATCTTAACTTTAACTGTACTGTAATCATATATAGTACGCATGTTTGGCTATTGTTGATCTCAAGTTGTTTCCTTCTTTCCTCACCAGGAAAAACAAGAGAGGAGAAGACAAATGCCATATCACATGCACATAAACCTTGAGCTCCTCGAAGCCACCCATCTGATATGTGCCATGCTCCTCGAGGTCCCAAACATGGCATCCCATTCGCACGATGCCAAGCGCAGGATCATCAGCAAAACCTTCCGTCGCCTTCTTGAGGTCAGCGAGCGCCAGACCTTCGTGGGCCCACCCGAGAACGTTCGGGACCACGTCATGTCTGCAACCCGCGCCCTCGCCAAGGGCGACTACCAAAAATCCTTTGCTGTCCTCAAATCTCTCGACACCTGGAAGCTCCTACGCAACAAAGATTCAGTCCTTTCAATGCTGGAGTCAAAAATCAAAGAAGAGGCTCTTCGAACTTACCTCTTCACATACTCCTCTTGCTACGAATCTTTAAGCGTGGACCAGCTTACTGCTATGTTTGACCTCTCGGAAGCTCAAGTTCATAGTATGGTGAGCAAGATGATGATCACCGAGGAGCTTCATGCTAGCTGGGACCAACCGACGAAATGCATTGTGTTTCATAATGTTGAGCATACTCGGCTTCAAGGTCTCTTGTTTCAGATGGCAGATAAACTTAATATTTTAGCTGAAAGTAATGAGAGGGCAGCAGAGGCGAAGACTGGAGGAGGGCTTGATGGGTTACCTCCGAGGAGGAGAGGAGAGGGTCAGGATTATATGGGCACAGGAGGAGCAGCGGGGAAATGGCAGGAGAACTTTGTTCAATCTTCTCAAGGGAGGCAAAGCGGTCGATTTGGTGGTAGCACGAGGTTAGGTGGAGCTGGAGGGTATATCGGTAATCGCGCAGGGCAGGGGAGTAGAGGAGGAGGTTATTCAAGCAATAGGTATCAGGATGCTTATGGCAGTTCTGGGAGGAGTCATTATCAGAGTGGCTCAGCGGCGAGAGCTGCACAAATGGATTCTTCGGGGCGTATGGTTAGTCTCAGCAAGGGTGTCAGGATTTAGCGCGAGGGTATTTTGAGAATTTTGCTCATTTCTGAAGCATTTGGAGAGGATAGAAACTAGATTTTGAGGACTCAGTTTTTAGTTATTGTGTTGGCATGGGAGCAAGGACTGTAGTAGCTCGCCTATTGTTTTCTTGTGAACTTCTTATTATGGTACTGTTCTGGTTTTCATTTTGTTCTGCAACTTGTTGTTTCTGGATTACTAGCACCTGTTATCTGTTGGAATTACCAGTGATTGATGATGCTACTGTTCTGCTTATTATTTTCCTACACAACATGGTTTATATGTCGATTCTCTTACTCGCTCATGGGAATGCCTTGTCCCATCTATCTCATACGTTTGATAACTGCGTTAATACTGATATCTGCTTCACATACGATACGTGTTACTTTTATGGTATGGGTCTGTTTTCCGCAAAAAAGATTCCAAGTTTTTTATCTTTTATTTTGGGAAAATGATAGGGTTACACCTCCAACCACACCCCTCTCTCTTATTTGCTACAGTACATCAGGCCCCACGTGTGATTTTAAATTTTTAAAATCACATGTGGGGCCCGGTGCACTGTAGCAAATGAGAGAGGGGGTGTGGTTGGAGGTGTGGTTGGGGGTGTGCCCCTAGTGCCACCCTTTATTTTGTGTCCATGCGTCACTGAATAGGACCAGTGTTGCAATATGTTAATAATTAGAAATTAGAGATAATGTGTAATAGTTTCATCTTTGGCTGCTTGCTGAGGTTTTCTATTGGTGATCTTAGTTTCTCTCCTCTTTGGATTTTCTGGCATAAATTTTTTATGTTTGGCTCCACCCCCATGACCTCGTTCACCATATTATTCGCCCCTGTTAGACTAATCCACTGCAAAATGAGAGCAAACGTATTTTTAAGATTTTTTAGCGGCCAAACTATGCATTAATTGTTGCTTTCTTGTTCGCTAGTGCGTTGTGGTCAATCTTCATGTTTGAATCCAACTCGATATAAAACCGGCTAAACAAGTAATAAATAAACAGGGTAAAAGCTTAAGCTGTATCCGTACCCTTCTGGTGATTAGATAATTTTCTTCTCTAATGGTGTCATAAATCACCTTTCGGTCAAGTCATCAAGTCTAAAGTGGTCTTCGAGTACCAATTCGATCATTAATATGGATTTGGGTGATGTGTTAGGATTAATAGGCAGCTTAGAGTTTTTTTTTTCCTCCCGTTTTCTTTTCATATGGAAATTTTGGTACCCACAAATTTTACATTGGATCTTCGTTTTGAACCATTTAAAGATTTCAAAATTTTAGAACACTGGGCAAATGTGTAGACACAGTGTAGCCCCACTTTTAGGAGAAATTCATGACCGCTACGTGACATACACCACACAAATAGAAGTAGGTCTTGTAGCATGAAAAAAATTGCTTAATTTGATCACATTTACATTTGCGCGTGATGCGTGCCATATAATTCACTCCTATATTAGTGTGCAGCATATGCAACTTTGGTACTCAGTGAACATCTAAACTTTTTTTTTTCCTTCAGTTTTAGTTCTTTTTCTTTCTTCTTCGATTTTATTAGGCACTTCCTTATTGATTCTCTTGACTTTTAGATCAAACATAAATACTTTTTAAAGGGACTTATTTTTCAAGAGGCTCTTATCCCAATTGGATTAGAATAACTAATAAAAATCTAAATTGCAGACTAAAATTGTTACCCTAATTGGACGTTTCGCTAAAGAAAGAAATAAATAAATTATAGTCTAAAGATTCTTTTCCTAATTATATTTTTGTAGAATATAATTTTTTTTTTTACTAGCATTGGTTTGGCAGGAATTCACCCCGTGTAGACCACACTGAACATTTTCAATCGCAAGCGTCCTCTATTGTTGACCATTGATTAGGATCAAAGGAGACTCAGGCCCCGTTTGGTACGCGGGAATGGGGTGGAATGGAATGCCATTCTCACTTCTCATTCTCTCCTACCAAACAAAACTAGTTTTTAGATGTTGGAATGATCATTCCCATGGAATGGTCATTCCCACTTTTTGTGGGAATGGGCATTCCAAGTGAGAAGATAGGGAATGATCATTCCCATTCAAGGGGAGAATCAAATTAGTTAGGTTTTTTTTAATTATACTCCTATTAATAATAAGAATTAATTTAAAAATCATGGCTTTTGACTACGTATTCTCATTTTCTCTCTGTTTTTTTAGGCTCCACCGAAACAAAAAGGCCTCCTTTCTATTCATCGCCCCTGAAATCGACGTATTCTCATTCTTTATATTTTTTGGACCTATGAAAGATGCAATAATCTTTTATTTATTTTTATTTAATTTTTTAAGACTAAGAAATAGTGAGAATTGTTTAAAAAATATAAACGAAACATACACCTGATCGATAACATGCGCATTAGTATAACATATACCTACATACCTAGATTAATATAACATATGCATAAATAAATTTTTTTAGTTATTATCATTAATGTTTATTTTTATCTTATTAAAAATCTATGTTGTTATAAGGGCATTATTAGAAAATGAGATTCCATTCTCACTTGTGAACTAGTGATACCAAACATGTGAATGGGAATTAGATTTTCATTCTAGCTTAATTCTACAAACGCACCCAAACAAGAGAATGGGAATGACCATTCCATTCTCACATACATTCCATTCCATTCCTTCTTCCATTCCATTCTCACTTGACTTCATTCCCACGTACCAAACGAGGCGTCAAGGTCCTTCATAGCAATTATTTATTCTAACTTTCTCCCATGTGAAAAATATTACACATAATTTAGTAATTGTTGTCAAATTTTGGACACAACACTTTTCATGATCCAGTCCCTTCAATTCGTCACTAAGCCAGACTTCAATGAAAAAATGCTACTCAAATAAATTTAATTTCAATGTTTTTCTAAATTAATAAAATTTGATTTCATAATTTACTATGCTGTCGACAATGAGGACGCCCACCTAACTTCTATACTCCCAGTCTCCCACTAATAAATTAGAGGAAAAGACTACAAAATAAGAACAAAAAACAAATAGATAACAAAATCTATTCAATTGTTGACTATACTTTTTGAGAACAAATGTTTGTCTCTTGAGGATCTAATCAAATCCGGACAAATTTTCAAAACCAACCCATTTGATAAACTATTCCCAAAAAAAGACCCATTTCAGTTTTATTTGTAAAAACCGACCTGGTTTCAGCCTCAGCGCTGAAACCAGGTCGGTTTTTGAAAAAAAAATTCCGAAACTTCACGGGAGTTCAACTCCCGTGAAGTTTTGTTATGTGAAAAAACTTCACGGGAGTTGAACTCCCGTGAAGTTTCGTAAAGTTTTTTAGAAAAACCGACCTGGTTTCAGCGACAGTGCTGAAACCAGGTCGGTTTCTCTAAATAAATCCCAAATGGGTCGTTTTTTGCAATTAGTTTATCAAATGGGTTGCTTTTGAAAATTTGTCCAATCAAATCCTCTCTCTCTCTCTCTCTCTCTCTCTCTCTAACTTCTGAAGAGGAGACCTCAGCAGCTTTCTCCATTGAGGTACACCTCTCCTCTTATATTTCTTCAATTATCTGCTTAATTTTTCTCTTGGCTCTTCTACCGATTGACTCTTTTGCCGAATTTAAGATCTATTGTTTGTTCTTTGTGAAAAATTTGATGGGTCTTTGAATCTTACATGGGTTTTTGGTGGAATCTTTAGTTCTAGGGAAAAGTTTGGTTTTACTGAAGAGTGTCGGGGAGGAAGATTTGAACTTTAAATGGAACTTTGGGGAAGGATATTTTTTTACACTTCAACTGTGGTATTAGTTTCTCCCTTTGTACCCAAGAGTTGAGACCCTTTTTTAATACCTCAAAATGCAAAGTCATTAAGCATAGATTCTTCTATCAAAGTTCAAAATGCAAGGTAGAAAGTGAGAAGGCTGATGTACGAATCTCATGTTCTGGTAGAATTTCTACCCACCAAAAGGTAGCTTTTTTATGGGACATGAAGTTTTGACAAGTTTGTATCCAGCTTGGGAAAAGTTTCTGTAAATGGGTAGTAATGAAATGCTTTTATCCATTCAGATTCCAAATGAATTAGTTGTCTTGCAAGTGTATGAGAAGTAAATTCAATGAAAACTCGTGAAGAAATTTAAAAAATATATACTTTTACGAGTATAATGCATGATTTAAAAAAAAAGAAAAGAAAAAATAAAAAAAAGAAAGCAAGCAAGTTCCACTCCAGTGTTAACTAGAATGATGGTTTTGAAGTTTGTTCTACATGTCATTGAATGTAAGCTAATTTCTTCCACATATCTTCAGTGTGCTGGTACCTTTTCTAGATTACTATTTGCCAGCAGTTTGTTGGCTTCCTTTGCTGGTTCACTGTACTTGTTGGTTAGAAATTTATTATCTTGTTGATTTTTTTGTTGGTAATCTTACATGAACGTTCTTATACAAAGTGGAAAAAAAAATGTTTTTTTCGTTCGTCGAATAATCTTCTACCAGTTGTTGTATGATATATACCATCTTCTATATTGTGTGTTTTATAGGAGATTTCAGGTCTTCCAATTGTTCTCCATTTAATCAATAGGGATTATTACTTGTTTTGAAATTTGTTTTCTCAATATTCTTTAAGCTTATACGATGTACTTACTGGTCTAACATATAAGGCATGCATATCTGTCTTTCATTTACCATGCATATCATTGTTTATGTAGAGTTTACATGTATATGTCTGAAATTGTTTTTTTCCCTTTTTTCTTTTTGTATTCATGAGACGACAGTAGCGTCAATCAACCAGTGAAACTCCTTTGTGGGTTCTTCTATGCTTGTTCCCTACTCTTTCTGAAACTTAATGTATCTTTGCTTATATTGCTCAAATGGAGCTCCTTATGCAGGGAATGATCTTTCTTAAACGATCTATTTGTCTTTTACTTAGTTAACAAGAAAATCGCCTTGAGGAAGATGGAATCATTCAAACTATTCTTTATATTATTAGCATCTCTGTACTCTTTTGCTGAAGCTAATCGTGAAGGTACTGTACTTCCTCATCATTTCTTATGGCTACACATTACTTTGTAATTATTTTTAGAGCCAGTGATGTTTCCATTGCTTCAAGCATTCTCGCTCATGCTATTGTTTTGGTGTTTCATATTGGCATTTACTTCTATTTGCTATTAACTACAATAATTATTTATGACGCCTATCAAGGTCAATTAAATTTATGCAATGAAGCTAAAATTCTTTTTCTTGAATATAATATGCTCAGATTCTCTATTCAACCGTTTGACTTG